TGCAATGGATCACTCTTTGAGATGCTACATTTAATTGCATCAATTTTAGTAGTCCTGCTATGAAATATACAGCACTCACCAAGACATCTTCAGGTGTATATGGAGTAAAGAACTTCTTAATTCCTTCTAAAACATGCCAGAAAACAACAGCAGATGGATACATGAATTCAGAGACACATGAAAGCGTTGCTGTTTAGGATTATTTGATTATTTGTGAAATCTTGAGATTTTACCTAACACTTTATCTGCTAGTAGATGCCGTCTTAAAGATTGGACTGAAAAATCATATTCAAGATTCCTAACATTTATCTAAGTCTAAACCTTATTAAGTTGTTCATGCAACCCTCAAAGACACTAGTGCCATTCCAGAAATAGACACGGCTAAGCACTTAATTCATATTCTCGAGACCTGGAACCTCTGTCTGTAGGCCATGAGTTTGGGGAAAATGTGAGATGAAATGAGGAAGGCAGTTTGACCTAGAGTGAGGGTCTTGTTATTACTCATGGGCTTGGTGAAGAGAAGTGAAATAGGATGGGTCATGTGACCTTATCATATGCTGAGAGAATTGCCCACATTCACTTCCCTAAGTGAAGACCTTGTAGGTGAGAGACATTCTTATCTGAATCTATTTCTGGAAACCTTATGAATAACTAATTTGACTGCTACAGGTGGAAAATTTCCTAGGAATGGTCTCTGCTCCTAGAGGATCTACAGAAATTAAAGTACAGTCCCTCAGCTCCGTTCATGGGGGATTGGTTCTAGGACCCCTCCCCCAGTACCAAAATCTACAGGTATTTTAAGTACCTTAGTAAAATGGAATAGTATCTGTCTGCCCACGGCAATTAAAAGATAAATGAATAAATAAATGAAATGTCATCGTAGTTGCCTGTAATCAGTGCACACCCTGCCATATACTTTAAATCATTTTTAGAATACGTATAATACCCATTACAATGTAAATGTTGTGTAAATGGTTGTTAGACTGTATTGTTTAGAGAGTAAGAACAAGGAAGAATTGTCTGTGGATGTTCACTACAGCCATAGCCATTTATTTTTTTAAAAATTTTCAAGTTACCGTTGATTGAATCCACAGATGCAAAACCCTCCGAGTGGAGGGCAGACTGTATATTGCCCTAACACAGTGCACCCTAGCTGAAGATCCTAGATTAACTTAATAACCTGGATGAGAAGTAATTTTGAAGCTGGCTTAGGGTTCACTATGGGGTTAATTAGGTGGGTTTTGTATTGTTATTTACAGACTGGATTCCTAGCTATTTACACATATGTGTTTACTTTCCACTCCTTTGGCTTCTCAGACATTGCTTGTGCAACATAAGGAGATGTTGTTTGGTATGTGAAGTCCTGATGGCACCATCCTCTCCTGTGGATTGGGGTGCACAGATCAGTGTTGCATACAGCAAACGACTGTCACCCTCCCACCCCACACCCCCCCACTCTGTTTAGTAGCACACCGCTTTGGTGTTATCTGTGACTCTTGAGGGTTCTGGGTTTGGCTCAGGATTCTTCAGCTGGATTTATAAGCTTTGGGGAATCTGTGAACTGTCTGAACTGATGAGCAAAAGTTCGTATCTGTTTTTCTCCCCCAGTGACTTTGTAAGGGTTTCATCAAACATAGATGACCCTGGTAAAGGTTTGAGTAGCTTTGCCCTTTGAACTTAACTACCCCTTCTACCAAAACACAAAGCACAAAGCACCCGAGAGCCTATATCACATGGAGGAATGAGAATGCTGGCTTAAAACAAAGATTGGAAATTGATATGACATCAGGGGCTGGCCAGAATGGTTAAGGTGGGGAGACGACTCCTGGGGTCAGCCCAGAGGGAATCATTAGCTGGTGGTGAACATGCCCTGCATGAAGGTTTTCAAAAGAAACAAATGTGGGCCGGGCCTTAGCAATGGTGGCTTTTGGTTGCTTTTGCTGTAATGAGGAGAAAAATAAGGTGTTCCCTGCCTGGATACTTATGATGTGGTATAATATAATGGAACAACCTTTCCTAGTACACAATAGGAGCTTGACACTTGTAAATTCCTCTTAAACACCACCACCTCCCCTCATATGCCTGTACCTACAGGGATGGATTACAGGTGGATGTTTGGCTTTTTTTTCTTTCTGTGGAATTCAGTAGAAAGGTCTTCTTTTGTTGAGGCTCCCCACATGCACTGCACACCTGCACAGCTCCTGGGGCTCCTGGTGGTGGTGCACCTGGAATGGCGCAGACTGGTGACGGCTGCTATTTCTTTTCTCTTTCTCCTCCCTCCCTCCCTTCTCATTCAGCGGTCCTTTTTCTCTCTTCCCTGTTGATCACTTCTGCAGGCATCAGACCTAAAGCACTTACACTTGTCAACATATCTGTGGCTGCCAGCATCAGTCTCATCTGTTTTCATTTCTATCTTATCACTCCTGACTCCTGGCACTTTCCTCACACTTCTAAAGTTTTGCTAGAAAAGGATTGGCCAGCCCAGAAAAAGGATTGCTTTTTATCTGAGGTGTAAAAAGAGCTAATCATCCCTCTTTAGGGGCGCATGTGTTTCACAGGGAACTTACAACTTGATCGAGGAACTGTTTCTAAAAACTCTGATGCACAGGCCACCCTCTAGAATAACTAAGTCAGAATATCTTAGAGTGGGACCCAGGCTTCATTATTTTTTAAAGCTCTCCAAGTGATTGATTCCAACATGCCCTGAAGGTTGATAATCACTAATCTAGGCTATAATCTAAAATGCCAGAAAGCTGAATTACACGTCATAGAGGTCTGATTTCATATTTAAGAATAACAAAGCTGTCTAATCAGCAAATAAATGTTGGTCTAGAACACACACTCTCTATGTATATGTATACATATCAAATAAGCAAAATAGGGTTGCCCTTTTTCTTTTTTTTTTTTTTTCTTTTCGCTTTGGCAATATCTTCTAGGGAAATCAGAAGGGTTGAATTAGTTGACAGATGGATCCAAATATAACTATTGTAGAAAATAATATATTCATTGTTGTGTTAGTCCCAAATTTAACACAAGGTTCAGAAAGCATTTCTGCCTGTATTTTTAGCTAAACATAGAGCTCTTGGTCTGGGAGGCGCTGAGAATTTCATAATAGTTTCTTATTTAAAAATATACTTCCTGCAGTGAAGTGGAGGCTGGAGGGGGATGAATGGGTTTATTTTTTTCTTCTATATTTACTTTCACCACAAGAAAGTGGATCTTAAATTTGTATGTGTTTATATTTTTAGAGACCCAGGAAACAGGTGCTATGCCCAAGCTATAAGAAAATTGCAGGGCGAAGTATCAGTGACAGAAACCTAAAATTCACAAGGCAGAGGGCGACCATGGAAGGCCATCGAAGCTGGTCCTCTGCAGGCAGGAGCCCAGGTCACACAGGGAGAACATGGGGAGGTTTTGCTCAGGCCTCTCTAAGGCTTGTGCCCTGGGGAAGGATCGCTCTGCTTTTTAAGAGCCAGTGACCAGTCTAGTGCCTATGTGGTCTAAGAGCTTCATCTTTCTGGTCTACCATATATCAGCATTACTTCATGTTTGCTGCTTGAGTGCCTAGTAGCCTTGCCTTCCTGTGACTCTCCAAACTTATTTCATTACCACCATCACCAGTAGAAATGGATGTCCTTAAAGAAAAAAGAGGAGAATGGGGCATTATATCTTGTTTATTGCCTCTCAGCACACGGCATGTGTTTTGTAAAAAAGCTTGTCTTCAATATTTTATTGAACGAATGTGAATGAGGACCCCATTCCTAATCACACTCCTCTCTAATCGGAGTGAAGTCCTAAATCCTGTCCCCATGTAATGCTGGTCCCTACCGGAACTCTTTCTCTCCATGCCTATGTAGTTTCATCTGTTCACTCCTGTTATTCAGTACATCTGTTTTTTTATCTTCTTTTTGTCATATCTTTTTGGCTATGACAGGCTCTCTTTCTGGCACTGAAGATACAGCATATAAACAAGGCAGATAAAGGCTCGTGGAGATTACATTCCTGATAAGTGGGTTATAAGCAGGTACGTGATCCGGATAGTTTGTGCAGATGATAAGGCAGAGGCCTTGTGCTAGTTTTTTAAAGATTGGTGTAAGATGAAAAAGTGACGTTTAATCAGAGACCAGAAAGACGACAAGAAGCCAGACAAAGGTAATAGCGAGTGAAAAGCCTGAGGAAGGAATGAACTTGGCTTCTTCCTGGAAAGGCCCATGTGTCCTTACTGGTGGTGAGGGATGCGGCTGCAGAGGCCGCAGAAGGCACATCCTTGAGGTGGAATCAGGCTTTATTTGCCTTGAGAACCTCAACACTTCACCAATGCTCGGGACTGTGGCTGGGAGGCTCTCAGCCAGTTTTCCTCAGAGCAACAGAAAGAAGTCAGTAGTTCCGGTCCCTTGCAAAGAGGCCCCTAGAGCTCTTTCAGGAGTGGGACAGGCAATGTTGGTGGAGGTGAAGTCTTGTGCCTCCACCCAGGGTCTCACCTTTAACTTGCCCACTATCTTCTGTACGTCACGACTCTGCTTGGCTGTGACCTCTCTGTGCCCATCTGGGCTGTGACACTTGTCTGACTCTCACATCCTCTGTGTTTTCTTCTATTTTGGGTTACTTGGACCTGGCCTGTTTTCTTGTCTGTTCCTCTAGCTGAACTATAATTTCCTTAAGGGTACTTGTTTTTGTGTACCCAGCATCCAGAGCTATGCAGTGGGCCAATCTGTGTTTCTTTATTGAGTGACAGGTTTTTGTGGAAAGCAGGGCTTATGATACCCACTGACAAAAACGAGAGGCTTCTCAACCACTACCACCCCCCACCACACATCGGCTTTTATTCCAAATTGCATCCACAAGGGAATTCTAAGCTGATGTGAAGGAATTATTTTGCCTTTCTCCATATTATTCTCACGATACTGACTTCGTTTGAAATTACATAGCATCTTCAGGAATTCCTTGGCAGGCTGCCTACATGGTGGATGATTATTTAAGATATCTTTCTCTTCCTCTAGTTAATAATGACATGATGGTCACTGACAACAATGGCGCAGTGAAGCTTCCACAACTGTGTAAATTCTGTGATGTGCGATTTTCCACCTGTGACAACCAGAAGTCCTGCCTGAGCAACTGCAGCATCACATCCATCTGTGAGAAGCCACAGGAAGTCTGCGTGGCAGTATGGTAAGGGAGCCCTTTAAGACATCGCTCTTTTTCCTCTGTTATAAGTATTGTATTGCGTGCTCACGGTACATAGAGTCGTCGTATCTCCATCCCCTGAGTGTAGTAGACACTTACCCCATTTCTCTTTCCTTTAGCTCATCTCTCTTTGAATTATTAAGTGTAGTTTCCAGGGCTGTTCTGTATACTCTCACACACACACATGTGTATGCATATGTATGTGTGTTTAGGTGTGTGTGACATGTACAAGATGCTCTGTAGTATTATCATAAATGTGTAAACCTTTCCTTGTATCAACAAGAGAGATTTGCCCCTTACTACTCACTTACCTGACAGCTCCTCAGAATCCCACAGCCACAGCAGGAGCTTTGTTCTCCTGCAGTAATCCCAGCTCCACCTTGGGGAAGGAGAGATGAGAGATTGGCTGTTGGAAAGGGAAATCACCTCCCTAAAATGGGGGAGCTACTTAGAGAGCCAGGAAAGCAATCCATTCCTTAGTCAAAAGCCCTGGTTATATCATTCATGACCATTGGGCTGTGTATGACATCTCTCTCTTTTGGTCAGATTATCCACTCTATGTATGTGGTCTCTCTCCGTCTTGGTAACTCTGTCTCTCTCTAGCTCTCTCTTTCTCTCATTCCCTCCATCACAGCCCCCACACATGCACATCTCATAACTCTTTATACGTACATGGTGCATACTCATCAATCATTTGATTGATTCATCGTTATGGATCGGAAGCATGAGCAAGAGATAAACAACCTTGATCATTAAAATAGTCCCAGTTTTATAAAAATGTATGAATTAGTTAATGGGATATGACATGTTGTAGACTTATTCTGATATCTTTAATTTATTGGCTATTTTTTTAAAACTTAACTTATGTATCTCCTGGCCAGTTGGCAAACAAGAATACAAACCTAAATATCTCTCCCTGTATTTTTGGAAAGGAGCCTTTTGAGACTTTCTTCAGACTACATAGGGTTAGCCTTGTTGACAGATCGGGAAACCTGGCAAATTTCTGTGCATAGCAGGGGATAAACTGGTTTCTTAAGAACTTAAGGAACGTTAACAGCAAAGACTTGTCACGATGGCCTGCTGTACCTGCCTGCTTAACATATGCCCAGTTCTAGGCAATGCTTTTGAAGAAGAGATTTTGACAAAGAATATGTTCAGAGGAGAGGGACCATTGTGGTTAGAGGTTTAGAAAGCAAGCCATCCGAGGAATGGCTTAGGCAATTAGACAGGGTTAGTGCAATGAAGAGGGGACATTCATTCCATTGAGAGAAATTGAAAGGCTCTCAGGTAGAAAATATAATAAGCGTGTTCTGCATAACTCTGACGAGGTGAGGGAGGATCCGTAACATTTACACGAGAACAGACTCATGCTCAGCATAAGTTTAAACATTTTCACAATCACGATTTCCCAATAAGAGAACAGGCTTCCTTCCTTGAAGTGTCAAGTGAAGTTCAGACAAGGCTGAATGCCCACGTGTCAAATAGAGTGCAGGAAAGATTGAGACACCAGACTAGGTGGCCTCGGCGCTTCCCTCTAGGGTTACTTAAATGCCTACTGTGGTGCAAGAGCTTATGTCTGCTACCCCAAACTGCCTCTTTAATTAAGACTTTTTTTTTTTCCTAACTGGTATTCCAAGCAAGCCCTAATGATTGAATGTGAACAGGGTCTCTCTGGAATAGAGGCTTTGCTACTTTCAAAAAATGTGAACATGTAAGAGAGAAGAGACCTCTCTGTCTCCCCTGTCTCCCACCTGTAAAGAGTAAATATGGTGAAGATCCTTTTGACCTATCTTGGCAGAGGTGAATTCCACTGTGGAGCAGGGTGTTAGCGGGAAGGATGGTATAGTGCATGCAGTAGTGTGCCTCCGGGGCTCCTCTGTGGGACCTAGAGGTGCTGGGGGACCAGCCCTAGGTCTTCTGCAGGGACTTCCCCTCCACTGGCAGGAGCTGCCTCATTCACCTGGGACCTTCTTCATGGGCAGCAAGCATCTTAGGGCCACTTTACCTCAGTTTGGGATGACTCTGGAGAAGCATCTTAGCTTCAGAGCTTCCCTGGGGTAGCTGGGGCCTCTGTTACCACCTGCTTGGCAGTTTGGCTTCTCTTCCTGTGCAATGCTGCTGCCTTTGATCCCTCACAGCTGCATCTCTGCAAACCTCCTGCACAGCCTCACTCTGCTTCTAGGAAACCCACAGCAAGGCAGCTACTGTAAAAGTAGCCAAACATGGAAATTGAGAGGCTCTGCTATGGTTGTGGGTTCCAGTGTTTTATCCGTTCTGCTGTTCTCATACAGCCATCGATTCATTCATTCATTTGTCGAATGTTTTGACTGTGAACACCATTCCATGCACAATGCCTACTCCTCCAAGGACAGAAATGTTTTAAAACCGAAGTTAATTATTATGGTGGTTCTTCTTTTAATAAATATTGACATCCTGTTCAATAGCTCAGAGTAAATGTTGGAGGAGAAAAAAAATAAGTCTATATTTACTTCATTGTATTTACCCTTTCCATGCTCAGCTGTATCGGAAGAGTTTTGAAACGTTAGCTCTTCCTGGTAGGAAGCACTGTTGGAGCAGTGAGTGGAGAAAGCAGTGACAGAGACTTTACCCAGGCCAATATCATAGTTGTTTCCCCTGTGCAATTTTAGTCCTCTAGGCAGCTGGGAGGTAGAAAACAAGAGGCCTTGAGTGAACTGCCCAGTAATTATAGCCGTACTTCATGGCTCACAGTTCCTTATTTGGCCTCTAGGAGGTTCACAGAGAAAAGGGACCATGCTTTCCCCCAGGAGTGCAGAAGATTTGGCATGTCTTCATTTTATTACCAAAACCAAAAGCAGCCTGCACTCACACACACACACACACACACGCACACACACACACACACGCACGCACAGACACAACTACAGGGGCAGGAAGGGTGGTGCTCTTTTTCTATGGCCCCAACTTTTACAAAGACTGCTCAGTCGCTTTGGAGTTAAGATGTCTCAACTTTCATTTAGCTTCATTTGATGACCTGATAGCCACTCTAGAACAAGTATTCCGATTGTTGCTCTTTTTGTACCAGCAGGGGCCCACTTCCACAGGGCTTACTTTGCTTGTGCCTTCTGGAGTTCTAGCGCAGAAATCCTTGAGCTCTTTCACAAATGGGCATATGTGCCTGTGTTGGGGGCAAGTCCAGGCTGTGTGGATGTAAACACTGGCCCCATTCCTGGTTGGGCTCTTATCTTCTTGTTGACATACTGTTGTTGAGTGTCCTTGAATTAAGCTAAGAAGGAAGTACTCAGAGTTGCTCTCTGTCCTGGGGATGCCCAACTTCTTTTCTAGGTGAAAGCTGTGTCTTAGCTGCTTCTTGCTTCCAGCCTGCCTTCCGAGCTGAGCTTGTATGTGGGGGAGGTGGGGGGAAGGGTGGTGTTCAGAATCCTTTTCCCAGAAGACCACATTAGTAAAACTGACCTGACCAAATTAGCCCTCACCTGAGCTGCCCCCCCTAGAATACCATTCAAGACAAGTGTTTTGCATCAGAAAAGGGCAGAGAAGGGAAGGAGGATGTCAGACTAACCTGGTGTTGTGCAAAGTCATTCTAGGGCAGTGGTTCTCAACCTTCCTTGACCCTTTAATCCAGTTCCTCATGTTGTGGTGACCCCCAACCATAACAATGAAAATAATTTTACAGTTGGGGGTCACCACAACATGAGGAACCGGATTAAAGGGTGGCGGCATTGGGAAGGTTGAGAACACTGCTCTAGATGCTACGCTCGTGTGAGAGCAGAGGGAAGAGGGCAGAGTGGGGCTGCCCTTTCCAAGGATACCACAGTTTTAGTTTGGCTTTTACAATTATAATAGTGGATATTGATTGTGTTGTTTTAAAATGTAATGTACATTGAGAGCCAACTGAACATTTCCTTAGACTCAAGGACAATGCTTTGTCAGAGATTGTCTGAGCTCTCAGTTGAATTAGCCCCTGTATAAGTCATGCGAAGGGATATAAAATGTCCAAGTCCTTGGTTTGTGACAGTGTAAAATATTTTATCAAAGTGTAGATGAAGAAACTCTAAAATCTCTCCCATGTTTTCATTCTTTCTTCTCTATTGATCCTTTCTGTAATTCTGGAAACTGCAATTCTTTATCTGGGATGTTTCTTCCCGTTTTTTCTACACAGAACCATCTGCTGACCTGGAATATGCCCCTCACACTAAGTGCCCCGAGGCCAGCAAACAAAAAAGAGGAACTGTGACTGCTTCCCCAGGCGTGCTGCATGAGACTAGCCAGACAGGACGGAGGCTGCCGAATGAGCTAGGGAGGCAAGGAGAGCCTTGCAGGACATTTAGGATGGAAGGTTTAAAATCATCCTGAGTACCTAGGAATGTTCTTTTTCCCCCTTGCCCTCCCCTTTAATGATTTAATTAAGATTTAATGTGCAAAATCCTCTAGCAGGACTGCCCCCAAGGTGCACCATTATATTTCTAATCATAAGTAGGTTCTGGGAAAAAGCAAAGGAAAACCATAAATGAGCAGACTAGAGGCCAACCTGCTAATGTTGGAGAACAGGGACCAGTTGCCTTTGCTAGCAAGAGCTTCATGAAGGAAAAATAGTCCAAATTGCCTTTTGTCCAGAAACCTTGCCATTATTCATTCTTTCCCTTTCTCCTCCCCCACCCCCAACAAACTTCTGCACGCCAGGAGAAAGAATGATGAGAACATAACGCTAGAGACAGTTTGCCATGACCCCAAACTCCCCTACCATGAATTCATCCTGGAAGATGCTGCTTCTACAAAGTGCATTATGAAGGAAAAAAAGAAGTCTGGCGAGACTTTCTTCATGTGCTCCTGCAGTGCTGATGAGTGCAATGACAACATCATCTTCTCAGAAGGTGAGTTTTCTTCTCTGCGGGGAGAGGGGCTGGACACTGTCTGTGTAGGTGCTTTGCAGCCTTCATTTTTAGTCACCCAAGGCACATCCTCCTGTAGCTGATGCTGGAGAATGGATCAGGAACCCATTCGCCTGGGGGAAAGGAACAGTTAGGGTGTAGCAGGGTTGGTTTTGGTCTTTATCAATTCTAGTTCACTGGGCTTACATTATTTCTTGTCCTTAACAAATAGTTTCTTTCACCTGGAACAGTGGTTCCCAAAGTACAGTCCCTGGAGCAGGCAGCATCAATATCACCTGGGAACTTGTTAGAAATGCAGATTCTCAGGCTCCACACCAACTCAATAAGAGACACTGTGTTTTAGCAAGCCCTCCAGGTGAGTCTGGTGCAGTGACAATTTGAGAACCACTAGTCTAGAGATTTGGAGGGGGATGTTTGACCCCAAAGGGCAACTTTATTTATAACTGAAGTAGTTTTGTGTACGCATTCCTAGGATTTTTCTTTAGTGGTCCCATTTGAGGAAAAAAAAAATTGAAATGCAGAGGGAAAATAGTGAGCCAGAATTTACCCAGGAAGCCAGGGGGAGTCCAGATTCAATATTAAGCTCTACCTTTGAAATTCAGCTTTCACTCAGCTTGAAAAGAAGGCACACACTATTTCCTCAATTTAGAAAACTGTTCAGTAGTTTTTTTTTAATTGCAAAGGTAATATATGTTCCTCATCAAAAATCAAACAAACCAAATATCAGTGAAAGTTAAAAAGGAAAGTACATTTTTCTCATCCCCTCATTTCTGACCCCACATGTAATCTGTATTGACAGTTTGTTGGATGTACGTATGACTCTGTAATTCATTCATATTCTCACTCTCTTTCTCTCTCTCCCCAGTCCCTGCCTCTCTTCTTTACTTCTTCCCTTTTTGCAGTTATCTGTCCATCCTTCCATCCATTCCATTCACTTGCTCATCTTTCAATGCAAATATTTGATCATACTATAAATAGTATTTTGCAACCTTTTTTTATCCAACACATTCTACATTTCCTTCTTAACAAGGTAGTATAAATAGATACACTGTGCATCTTTTAATTGTAGTGTAGAATTCCATAATATATATCGTCTTTCGTGACTGATCTCATTATTCCCCTGTTGGTGGCTTATTTAGGTATCTCCAGTTTTCCAACTTAATGTTGCATTGAATGCCTTTGTAAAAATATCTTATACATTTGTGCTGATATTTCTGCAAGATAGATTGCTAGAAGTGAAATTTCTGGATTTGAAGTTATGCATATTTTAAAGTTGAATAACCACTACTAAATTATTCTCCTTCCAATAAAGAGATGTGATCACACAGATTTCCATGAACCTTCTCCAACAATGGTAATGACTATGTCTTTCAGTTTTGCAGTCTGATACTGTAAATAATATTCTTTGTGTTCTAGGAATGTAAATTCAGAATGGGGAAAGATTACTTTAGTCTAAAATAGAGCTGATTTAATGAAACATCCTTTTGAAACACAAGGGCCGGGTCTACACACTATGCCTGCTAACCATGAGTGTCTCAACTGCAGGAAATGATGTTCTCGTGTTTCGCGTTGGGTGCCCAGCAGCACAGCGCCTCCAACTCTTTCTGTCTCTGTCCTTCAGCTACTCTCAGTCTCTCTCTTTTCCTGCCCAGTTCCTCACCTGCGTCAACTTCTCAGTGAACTGAAGGCAGATGTGCACCTCTTGTCAGGGCAGCACCTTCTAAAATCTCTCCTCCCTCCGTCTTACTCAGTCGATAACACCGACCCTTCAGATTATTAGTGACCTCGGCTTTCACTGTCAGAGTATTTCAGTCGAGGTGATCATCAAGGGCATCCATCGTATTTCCTCTCTTATTTATTTTCAGACTATTTCTTTCCTCATGAAATGACATACTTAGCATAAAGACACTTTCTCATTGTACAACTCAGGAACCCCACACAGGTGATGACTCAAATGTCTGGGTGCATTCAGAGTGTTCTCAAATGCACTGGGGAAGTGGGTGGGTGGGGTTTGCTTTTGAAGCATCTCTCTTCTTTGCCATAGGTTATTTCCCCCACCTAAAACAGCAGATATTAGGAGCACCTTTTGGGTTCCTCTTCTCCTCTTACTACCACCATCTCTTCTTTGTAACGAGGAACAAAAAGTCTTCCAATAACTTTTCGTTCTCCACACCAAGTCAAACAAGATGGCAAACACAAAGGCTGTCGAGTGCCGTGTGCTAGATTATTCCCACTCACTATCAGTACTGTTCTCATGGCCAGATTTCTGATCTGCAGCCACACGTGAGTGATGAGTATGCACATCTCTCATTCTTTTCTTAGATATGTAAGAAAAGAAAAGTTGAGTCACAAGAATTATCTTTCTAAGTGTAGATCTTCATTTCTAGTGGTCCTGTTACTGGTAGCCGGTGTTCAGAGGAACCCTACTCGTGCTGTGTAGGGTCCCCAGTTCTTTGCAAGCTATGACCTCATTCCACCTTGTAGCCCTCCCGTGAGGGTAGGCACTGTTACTATCCCCATTTGTGCAGGAGAAAATCAAACTTAGAGAAATTTAACTTTTGTCTGGGATCAGATAGCTAGTGCGTGTCAGAGCTAGGATTTATAATGGGCGATGGATGGCACTAAAACCCATGAAGGGTTTTTTACCCTTCTTTCCTTCCTTTCTTCTTCTTTGTTTTTATTTCCTTCTTTCTCTTTATTTTTCCATATCTTTTTCTGTCTTTCTAAACAGATGATATGTACACATGAAAATATATTCCAATGCTACAAAGTGAGGTACACAGAAAAGTAAATCTTTCCTTCAGTTCATCCCCTAATCCCTCTGTCCCTCAGGGCCATTATTAAAAGTTGATCATCCATTCTTCCAGACAGAGTTTTCTGCATGGAATTGTGGATGCCCCCTACATTTGATAAAGCATAACACTGAGGATTTTTAAAAGTCAGATGCATTGATATATGATTTACATAAACTAAAATTTACCCTTTAAAAAAAGAGCAGTTTGCTGAATTGCGACAAGTGTATACAACTTCCATTGCAATAAAGAGAGAACATTTCCATGACTCACAGTAAGTTTCCTCATGCCCTTTTGTGGTTATCGCTGGGAATTTTAGTCTCTTTTTTTTTGTTTTATGATTTTACCACTAATAGATGTCATTATTGCATAGTTCATATTCTTTTTTTTTCAATTTCATATTAAGCTGAGGGTACAGACAATTAGGTTACAATGTTTGCATTTGTTAGATGGAATCCCTGTTGTTAGTTTCATTTTTTAAAACTTGGTGTTTTCTATCTACATGTTGTGAGTTCCAATTAAAATACTTTCTGAGGAAGGACATGACCTCAGTCCTCTGAATAATGGGCATCTCTGAAGACTGTACCCCAGCCTCTGATGCCAAGATGTTACTGTGCTCCCCTGCCCCTACAGACACGCAAGCAGAGTCTCACAAAGAAGGAGAAGCAAATGTTCAAGCTCTGCACCTTTTACACTAAATTTTCTCTGCCACTCCACATAGCTTGTCTGTATACCATGCAGTGAGTGATGTGCGGCTTAGCAGGTGGTTTGGTGGGAGAATGGCCCACATTTAAGCCCAGGCCTTCCCATCTCTACTCGTTCAGACTCCTGGAGGTCAGCTTAGAGCAGTGGCTTATATGCCGATGGTCTTTTTTTTTTTTTTTTTTTTTGGAGACAGAGCCTCAAGCTATCCCCCTAGG